TTCATTTTCAATTCAACTGTTTTGTTACACATTGTAAATGGTCTTATCCATTAAAAAAAAAAATCCAAAATAAGACCATATAATTTAATGATATAATGGGAAACTTGATTTTGGGCTTTGTGGTACATAAGCTCATAATTGAAACTGGTCATTGGGCCATTAATTGAGCGTGTTATGTATGTGTTCATTGTTTTTTGTATAAAAAAATAGGATATATCATATACTAGCGTAGTACCCGCCCCATGGGCGGGACAGTATAAACTTATCAATATATCATGTGAAACATTATTATATCATCAATTTTTAAAACATTAAAAGGTATTAAACCATAACTGGGGAGCTTAAACCCTACGTAAACACCAAAAACAATACATAGATCATAAGCGCTAAACTATAGCATTGAAGCCTAAACCCAAATATAAAAAAGTAAAATTTACTATTTTTAAATCACCACCCTATACCATTAGATTTGTTGATTAGGGTTGCTAAAACCTAGTACGAATGACTAAATCATGACCACAAATAATCATTAAATTTTTATACATGGACTCATTTGATGGTTTACAAAAAAATTTCATAAGATAAATAAAAGATTCAATTCATCTATTCAGCGGCTTTTCTTTTATAAGACTTAGCAATGTTGAAGTTTTTGTACACAACGAATCACCAAATAAATACATGATTTATAAAGACTGTGACGATGGATATAATAATATTATTGTGTAAAGGTTTAACACATATATAACTAAAAAAATTAAGATAAGACACATATATTTTTATCGGTTTATAACTTCAGTATGTTATTTATTTATCTTGAACAGCTTGAAATGATGAGTAATAGCCTGCAGTTGTTGTCGAACTTCCTTTCTTCTCTTGTCCATAGACATCATGCATAGAAAGTAACTTAAAATAACTTAATCGATGAGCTTACATTTGATTTTTTTTTGTTCTTTATCTTACGAAATTTTTTTCTAATAGTAGGTGTGTCTTATTATTAATTACAGCTTGATTAAGAGTTAACTCTG